GCCATCCTGCCACCTGTTGGCAGCTCAGCGGCTGCTCAGCTCGGGCCGGGACTCGAACCGCTGTTGCTCAGAGCTCACACTCTTGAGCGAGCTCTTAACCAACTGAACCACTCAGCCGGCCCAACAAAGCCAATTTTGCAAACTCTAGTGGAAGGATCAGGCTCTGGCTCGCCTCCCTCCTCTCCACCCCTGTGGTTGCACTACATCTAAATATGTGATGCCTCTGGCCCCCGTCTTCTCATCTTTGGCCCTGGCAGTTTAAACCTTACCTACTCATTTCACTCAGGGCTGTATCTTTTGTTGTGACTCTAGTAGATTGCAAAAATGGTTGCAGTTCTTTCCTTCACAGTCTTTACACCCCTTGCACATGACTTTGAAGCTCTTCCCCATTAAGAAGTGTTTATTTCCCCACCTCTCGAATCTGTGTGACTTGCTTTGGCCAACAGAATGCGGTGGCAGCAACAGCGTGCCAGTCTGAGGGGCGACTTCAAGAGGACAAGTCTTTTTCCGTTGGTTTTCTTGGACATCTGCACAGCCTCCACGATGAACAAGCCTGAGCTAGCCTGCTGGAGCTTGGGAGACCACGTGAAGCTGAGATGAGCAGTCCCAAAGGAGGCCATCTCAGATCAGCCGGCCCTCCAATCACCTGGCAGCTGAGCACACAGGCATGAGTGAGTCCAGCTAAAACTAGAAGAACCACCCAGCAAAGTCCAGCCCCCATAGCTGACCCACAGAATTGTGAGCTAAAAAATTATGGTTATTTTAAGCCACTAAGGGTTTGTTTTTGTTTTTTTTTGGGGGGGGTATGCAGCAAAAGCTAATAAAGGATATAGATCCCTTTATTTCTATCTGCAGCAATGTTTATTAAATTGGGCCTCTCAGAGCAAAGGGACATTTTCCACTTAGTTCTGTACATTACCTAGATGAGTCACTTAATGGAAATTTAGAACAAAGGTATTTTCTTGAGAGGAATAGGGAAATGGGAGAGGCTGATGGAAATTTGATTCCCATGTTCCCCCATCCCAAACTCTACAGCCTATGATTAGAGAAATAAATAGAAATCCATAAGATGAGGGGCATGCCGTTAATCAGTGCTAGTAAGACAAGCAGCAGAAAATTCTCTCCTTACAAAAGACGGTACAAAAATACACTAAGAAAATTATTCAGGGACAGGGTGAAAAGCCTGTAATTTTTCAGTCATCTTGGCTTCCCTGATTTTTGCTGTGCCATTTCTTTGCCACTGGCTTAGGGTCTCACCTTTGAGCCTGCCTCAGTTCCTTCAGAAAGACAGCAAGGGAGGGGTGGGGGACTATGCCACCTCACTGCTATGGCCAGGGCTGTTCTAAGTTCTTTTTAGGCTCCAGACCCTCACTTCCGGAGGCTCTCTCCAGGCCACATTTAACATGTTAAGATGTTCCCACACCCCACAATTTAATATAATTTATACAGAACTCCAAGGGTCAAGTTGCACTTGACTAGCTGACATATTATATTACAGCTAGCTAGCTACATAGTTAATGTTTACTCTGCAGTTTTATTTCGGTATTTTGGAACCATTAATTTTGTTGATCTTCAGGTCTGAAACATCTTCATAAGCCCTTGAAGAGCTCACAGGTTCTGGGCTCTGTGCCTATAGGTACCCAACAGGAAAGTTGCCCTGGCCTAGGCAACCAACCAACAGCTATTGAGCACCTAATACCTATAAAACATTGTGCTGTAGTCTTCATCAAAGTCATTCACTGGGCAGCCATTTACCATGTCCAGCTACTGAGCTAAGTGCCGAGAACCATGATAAAGATCCCGTCGTTCCTGCCCTTGAGGGAGCTCTCTGAGTTAGCCAAGCCTTGGCCCAAAGGAAAGCAAATGAAAAGAACTGTGGAGTTAGGATCTGCCTCTGGGCCTTCCTTTAATGCACCGTAAGGATGAGTAGAGGTCGTATGGGAACATTACCATCTTCCACCTCTGGCAGCAAAGGGAGACGGACAACCAGTCCTAAAGTTCCTACTTGCAGCTCACCTTGGGTTAAATCCTACGTTCTCGCTCCCCAGCACACAGGATGGTCTCATGATGGATAGGGTGGTCTCTAGGCCAAAGGCAGGATTTGGGAGCAACAGGTGTCCCCAGACTCAGAGATGACCTACAGGGTGATGGCAGGGGTGGCACAGAGGACTCGCTCCATGAGCTTAGACAGGTGCTGAGGCAAAAGCTGTGTTAGAGTGCCCCATGTGCTTTTCGTGTTCATCAGTGGCTCTGCTGATCGGCCAGACCCTTGGAAGGCATACTTTATAGGCCAAACACTGAACAATCCAGTGGCCCCAGTGGTTCCGAGCAATCATCAGGCCAATCGAAGGTCTGGTTTTAAGTCAGCCCCTTGGGCTTCTTGAAAAGTACCACCTTAAGAATCAACTCAAGGGTGGTGTTTTTACTTC